GTGGGCCTCCGCAAAAAACAAAGCAAGATAATTGTGAGATTTGCTTTGGCTGCTGTGGGGGGGCCCAGGTGCTGCTTTTCTTCCTAGAGCCTAATCAAGTGATTTGCAACTTAGGCAATTAACAAGCAAGCCCAAAAGGACGTAGTTAAAATAGGAAGGATTCCATCTTGAAAATAAGATTGCATTTTAAAACCCAATCAGTTAAAAGGTAAGATTCTTAACATACTCTTTAACAGACAGACAATAACTCAGCCCACCTTGATTGCAAAGCAGGCAGTCTTGACTGTATACGCTCACAGACCAGGAAGCTGCTATCCTGGGAGGAAATCAGAGCAGCAATTTCTTGTAAATAACCAGGAAGACTAATAAGAAACTTAATGTCTCTTCAAAGATAAACATTTTGGGGCCACTTAGCAGGTGTGCATCCCTAGTCCTTTGTCTCTCAATTGAATGTAAAACTAGACAACTGCACAACCTGGGGCTCTCTTGTCCTGGCTCTATCCTCTCACTTTATCTCTAAATAAAAGCCTCTTACTTGCTCGCCTAAAAAAGAAAAAGATCTATGAATGGTCAACAAGCATATAAAAAGATGATCAGCATCACTAGTTATTAGGCAAATGAAAATCAAAACCACAATGAGATACCTGTCACACGCATTAGAACAGCTACTATCAAGAAATCAAAAAAGAACAAGTGTTAAGGAGGAAGATGTGAGAAATTAGAACCCTCATGCACAAGGGAGGAACGTAAAATGATGCAGCCACTGTGAAGAACAGTATGGTGGTTCCCTAAAATTTTTAACAGAATTACTATATGATCCAGCAGTCCTACTTTTGGGTATATACACAGAAGAACTGAAAGCAGGGACTCAAACAGGTATTGTACACCCACGTTCTTAGCAGCATTATGCACAGTAGTCAGAAGGAAAAAACAACCCAAGTGTCCATCAGCAAATGAATGGATAAACAAAATATTAATATATACATAAAATAGAATATGATTCAGGTTTAAAAAGGAAGGACGTTTCTGGCACATGCTTCCACACAAACCAACCTTGAAAACATTCAGAAAGTAGGATGGTGGTGGCCAGGGGGTGGGGAAGGGAAAATGGGAGGTTAGTGCTTAAGGGATACAGAGTTCACTTTCACAGGAGGAAGAAATTCTGTGGATGGATGGCGGTGACGAGTACAACACTAAGAATGGATTTACTGCCACTAACTGGCACACATAATGACAACTGAGATGGTCAATTTTACATTAGTTTTCCTAAAAACAAGTTGCATCTTAGAAGGTTTATGGGAGGGCTAGAATCATGCTTCCAGAAGCGTAGGGCCACCTATAAGTAACTTGGTGCCTACGGAGAACACCTGGAGAGGGATTCCGCGGAAGTCGGAGCCAATAAGCACTGAGAAGCCAGACGATATTCTCTAGTTCCTGAGACGCCACAAGCCCCTAATGTGGACTGAGAAACTAAGTGGGGAAACCCCACCACACTGTGATTCAAGTTAAATTTATTACATCTAAAAACCTGGTATTTTTTTCACATGAACTGCTACAAGTCTCTACTCCTTCTATATGGACTATTGATTTTAAGATTAATTGGAAATAAATTTCACTTTCACTTTGATGTTGTTACTTGTCAAGACAGTTTTGATTCCCAAATGAGCACCTCTGATACTTATCTCTGACAGCTGTGCAGCACCTGCCCCTCTGCTAAGCATCCTTACAATTCCTCTACCACAAGGGATTCACTGGCCACGTTCTAGTGCGGGTGAAATACTTGTAGGTGTTAATGAGTCACTGATAATAAGTCCTTGCTCTGAGAGCAGCTCTGGAATATACCACATGATGGCAAAAAAATAAACCCTTTCCTGACATGCAGCAGGATAGGAAGTGAAGCCTAAAGACAGAACCCTTTATGGGTGTTAATGTCATTTACTTACAAAGACTTGGATTTTCAGGAATTAACTCCTTGTCCTTAAAGCTAGGACTGCCCTTGAAGCAAACACATCAAGCCACTTCCACTTGGTATCTGAACTAGTGACCAGAAGAGGCCAGTCCCTTGCGAGCCACCAGGCACTGGCATGCCTCCTGGCGCTCCTCTGATTCTCCGTGGGACTGCAAATTATTGTAAATTCCTGAGACGCTGTGTCTGCAAGTCCTTTAACCCACTGGGCATATCTTCTGAGGCTGAAATGTGAATTAATTCAAAGTAGCTTATTGTTTTCATTGTATCTCATCTAGTTTGAAGTGCATGTTTGGACTTAATATTGTTTTCTTGAAACTATTTTTTTCAAAAATAGTTTTTCTTACTGAACAACTTAGTAATAAAAGAGAAACTAGCTTTCCTAAGGGCATCATCCACCTTCCAAGCAGTAGCTCTAGTCCTTCTTTGCTCTTCTGATTGTTCTGAAAATAGATATTTTTTAAATTGACCTAAGTATTTGTGACCTTAGTATTCGGTCCAAGCGTTAACGGTTTTTGTCTTAGATATTACTCTGAAAGGCGCATGATACTGCTTTCCTGCGTGTGTCCTGCTCACTGCTGTCCCTCACCTCCCAGAGTCTGAGCTCCTCAGACAGCTCCTCTCCAGGCCCTGCTGGTGTCCTTAGATGCCTCCTGCTTTCCCTCACAGGCAGTTCCCATCTCCCTCCACTTCAGCTGTGATGTCTATGCTAACTGTTCCCACACATTGACAAAATTTGATTTTGAATTTCAGCCCAGTACTACTAACAGCCTCATGGACAATGAGATTCATCAATACATTCAAAAAAAGAACTCATTGTCTTCCTTCCTCAAACTTGGCCTTCTTTCAGAATTCTCTGTTCATGCAGGCTCCCACCCTGACCCTTACCTAAGGAGCTCAAGCCCTTCTAATGCAGTTTCCTCTAGTTCTGGGCTCTGCTTCTCCCAGTGGCGCACAGGCAGTGCCTTAGTTCTGGCCATCATCATCGCCTGCCTCGCTGATGCAAGCCTTCGCTTAAGCCCAGCACACAGCTGAGCAAGGTCACAAGTTCCAAGGTGGAGTCCAGGGAAGCTGCTTGCCAAAGGCCAATGAGACACTGGGTTGGGCCAAGTTGTATGAGAGCCGGTGGCCAGGAGGACTAGACACAACTCTCAAGAGGAAGTGTGACAACAAGCCCAGCATGGACAATGCCAAGAAAAACCACCCATCACAAAAGGTGCTCAGCAAATGAGCTGGGATTAAAAGGTGCATGTGGGAAAAAGGAGGGCAGAGAGTGGGGGCAAATTCTGGGAACAAGAACATTCCAATGTCTTTTTCTGTCTTTCCTTCCCTTCCTCCTCCTTCGGCTCTTGCCACGCCATCGTATTTCCATGTCTCAGACTTCTCCAAGACTCTGTATGGGCTTTTCCTTCTGGCTAGAATGACCTTGTCTTTAGCTCTGCCTTTGTTCCCCTGAGATTCAAAGGCTGGGAGTGCTGGGATGTTGTCTCCCTTATTCTTGGGTGTTTCTCAGATGCTGAAAACAGTGCCAGGTACATAATAAAAGCTCAAAAGATATTTCCTAACTGCAGGACCTATGTATGTCTTTAGTGTGTCCTCAATACATATTTTGAATGAGATGGATGACGGCTGCTGAGAGCTGACTGCCAAACTGCCCCCCTTACATATTTTTGCAGGACCGAGTTCCTCTAGCACCTGCTGCATGAATTCTCTCCCAACACCTCTGGGCAGGGTTAGCGGGATGCTCCCCCATGGCCTCACGCCTGCTCACGGAGCTGCGTTCCAGCATACCCACGCCCCCTACCCTTGAAGCTGGGCAGGGCAGCAGTTACAAAAGGAGGATTTTAATTAGGTTTTCCTAATCATTCCCAAACCCCAAAACACGGACCCATAGATAGATTATGCTATTATCCGATGGGTTATATGCTTCTATGTTAAAGACTGAGTCAATGTAATTCCCAGAGTAATTCTTTGCAAATTAATGGACAGGTAGTTAACTGGATCACAAATATTTCAATTTTATCATCTTAATAACTGAAAAAGATCATGATGAAGATTCACTAAATTAGTTATTCAGAAACTCATCCATTATGCTATAGTTGGCAATAATGATTAGATCAAATCAAGTCCAAAAAAAAAAAAAAAAGAAACAACCCAATCACAGTATGCATCTAGAGACAATCAGAAAAAGTCACAAATACAGGTTTGATTCCATTCATTCTTTCTAATTCCACTCATTCTTTCATTTAATTTCTTGTAGTGCTTTTTATGTGAGGCATGACTCTTAAGTGCTAAGGATTCAAAGATCATTTAATTTTAGACCCACTCTTAGGGAGGCGCAGTCTAAAGGGGAAAAACACTAATGTGATATGACATTATATAATCAAAGTTCCTAGAGAAAGTATATAGTTTCCAAAATACATGTGGATGGTAAAATGCACAATATTGATAATTAGAGTTCCAATTTATCATAAAGTAGCTCTCATTTTAGTTTGACTTTACACAACTTTAAAATCACAATGCGTTTTATTTAAATTGAAACCCTAAAGTTAAGGAGTTTACGGACATAGCATCACCCTAAGCACATCGGGAAATCACGGCAGTGTCGTTCCGTTTCACTAACCAACATAAAAATTTAGATGAAGATAACAAATATTCCAAAGCATAAAGAAAAGAGAGAGGAACAAAGGCTTTTTTGAAGCAAAACAAGCTTGAAGGCTCATCCTACTAGAAAATGAATGAAGGCTCATTCTCCTCTGGAGAACGGAATAAAGAGCTTCCCGCAGGGGGACGGTTCTGAGGAGGAATCGGGCTATCACCTGGCATGTAACAAGGAGCAGCTTTTTGTCAACACATGACTATATGCTGTGATTATAATGCTGTAGGCTGGTAAAAAGAAAAAAAATGGTTAGAAGGTTTCCGGTACTGAGAGAGGGTGCGAGAGACCAGAAGAAGCACGGGGAGCTCAATATCTACAGCAGGTCACAAAGCCAACCACGGCTCCAAGGGCAGTACCACGTATTAGTTTCCCTACCTGCCCAGTTTGATAATGTCTGGCAAACTGGTTAACTACTCGATAATCATTTGCAAAGTACTCCATCAGAATAGAAGGAACCTCAGCAAAGTCAGTAGGGCACCTGGTCCCTAAAATGGGGAAAAAGAAAAAAGTTGGCATGAATCAAATCAACATATTTATCTTACTTTTTATGTACTCTTTTAAAACTTTTATATGTACTTCTGATGAACAACGATAAGCTTTAACTCATTAAATCAATATTTTACTTCTATAAAATTATTGCACATATTTGTAATAGAAAAGTTTACTATAATCCCATATATGTTTCTATATATTGAAAGTAACACAAAATATTTGCACAGCTGGATAAAACACCTTGTAAAGCAATGGCTCATACCCTCTGCAAACAAACCTGTCTTCAGCTACACTGAGCTATACATGAAACACAAATTAAAACATTCTTACAATTAATAGAGCATTTGTATTTAATTCACTGA